CAGCTTCTGAGAGAAGATGGTTTTGTCTGCTATATTATCTGCACCCCTAGAACTGTACCTGCACATAGCAGGTGCTCATTTGTTGGATGATTCTTTTTAAATAACCTACTTTCCTCTTTCATGTATCAGAGTTATCTTTCCATGACCATTCGAATTGGTCTCTCTTATCCCTTCTAATTGGTCTCTCTTGTCCCATATCACTTGTTTGTCCTTGGTGGCATGACCTTTGAGTCTCTGAGAGCACCTTTAAATCACCAAATATACACTCTACCAGCACTTCAAGGTGGCTCTGCAGGCAATGGGTACAGATTTAATGTCAGCCAGCCTAGACTGAAACGACTTGCCAAATCATTGTGGCCATGCTACTTAACCTCGTTGGTCCTCAGTTTTCCCATGTGTAAGACAGAGAAAATACCCCCGGACTCACACCTGGAGGGTTTGGGGAATGGTAAAATTCCTGGTGTAGTGTGTGCTGAATCAACTGCTCATATTTCTGTTTGTAAAGATTTAGAGCAGCAAACATTTAAAAATTGTATGTATGTTAAAAAAATTATATGTGTATTTCCAAAAACACTTGCTAGGCTTATCTTTATGAGTCAGCTTTCTTTTAGAGGTTTCCAAGAATAAATCACCCATGCCACCCACAACTGGTCACACAACTGATATCTCTTATTTCGCTTTCTGAGATTGTCATCATTTTGTCCTACCTTCTCCCACCCTGAGTCACACTTTTAAAAAACTACTCTATTCACAGCTTAGGTTGTGCTGTTCTCCCCACTTGATCCCCCATGACAGTTGCTTGGTTTTCATGTATGAGCCATGGTGATTTATTACCATAATTATTACCATATACAAAAATATCATTATTACCATATACAAAAATATCACTCAGGGTGATTTCTAAAAAGCAAGTGAAGTAGGAGATTCTCATTATACTCAGGCCTCACGTGGGAATTCTATCAGTTAGCTATAGCTGCATGACCAATGTCCCCCAATATATAGTATCTTAGAAAAATAAGACTTGTTTATATGAGTCTGTGGGTCAGTTGGGTGGTTTTTCTGGTCTGGGCCAGCTATGGTTGATCTCAGCTGGACTCTTAGATCTGAGATCACCTGATGAGTTCGCTGGTCCAGGAAGGCCTCCTAACATGGATGGAGGTCGGCTGGCTACCGGCTAAGGCAATGGGCACAACTTGGTCACGTGCCTCTCATCTTCCTGGAAGGTAGCCCAGGTTTGCTCACATGGTGGTCAGGAGAGCAAGAGAAGCCAAAGCTCGCAGATGTCACAATGTCACATCTGCCATATTATTTTGGTCAAAGCAAGTCACAAGGTTAGTCCCGATTCAAGAGCAATGGAGATCAACTCCACCTCTTGGCAGGAGGAGCTGTAGAGTCATGTTAAAGATGTGGACGGGAGGCAGAGTGCAGGATTGCGGGTATTTTTAAAATCAGTTGCTGCGGGATCTTTCTAAGGTGTGGTGAACAGAGCCAACTTATTCTGGGTTATCAACATGGGTGGGGACCCCAGCTCCCACTGACTGCTGCAGAGTGCTAACCTTCCTCAGGCTGGAGACCCTGCAGTGACTGGCTTCTCAAACGAAGCCAGCTACCAGCTCACACTCAGCTTCTATCTGGGGCAATGGGAGGAGGCCTCTTACTCTACAGACTCCAGTCTACCCCTTACCTGTTCCTACAGGGTCCCACAACTGGCTCTTTCTGGGCCAATTGTGTTTGTCTTCCCCCTTGAAGCTCCTTCTCTCTTCCCTATCAGCCTTCTTCCCCTCCTACTTCTCCACCCTCTGCTTATTCAACCCTGACCTTCCCCTTTTAACACCAAGCTGAAATGTCACCTCTTCCTAAGAGCCTTCCTTGACCACTCTCACCCATAGCCAGCTCTCCTTTAAAGATATACCAATACACCATCTGTGCCACACATTTTAATACCTAGGTTTTTAGAGTTACCCTTGTAGGAAGCTCTTAGCAGGTGCCAAGAATTTTAATCTTCCTAATGCTTGAGTAGATACTCTTATCATTATCATTTTACAGTTGGGCAGCTGAGCCAACAGGGTGACTTTCGAAAGGTCTTAGAATGGGTGGTAAGGGGTGGATCTGTTTTCTAAACCAAGCTTGTCCTGCTCCAAAACCCAGCGTGGCAGAAGCTGTGGGCACCCTGCTCGCCATGTGCCCTCACTCTTTCCTCTTCAATGCATGCGGCTGGCCTGGCTTCCAGCTGCCAGTGCCTGATTTCTCTGCCTGACTGCTTTCTCAATGAGTTTCATTTTACCCACGTGGCAGGCTCAAGAGCTGAAGGATTAACTTCCTATAGGAGCAGTGCTCCACAAATGACTGATAAGAGTGGTGTTTAGATATCCCAGGGTGGGGTCACTAAATGCCTGTCTACACTGGCTCCTGGAGTTCCCGGCAGCACTGAGGTCCAGTTGCCTACAGTGATAAGAGTGATGGCACACTTTTATCGGCTGCTTTGCCCTCCCAGCCACATTCCTTCCTCCCTTACCAGCATTTCCTGGGAGCACTCCTGAATAAGCTATGACCCCTCAGACCATGTCTCAGGGTCTGCTTCAGGGTGAGGGGCTCAAACTAAGATACACCTCCTAACACCTTGGCTTTTTGCCCTCTCTTTTCCCAGTTGCCTCTGATTAAGTTGTAAGCTCCTTAAAGCTAGAGGAACTCATAATTTCTCTTGCTTTTTCCATAGCCCTCCTCAGAACCTTAGACACCCCATAAATTCAAATCAAAATCATTTATTGATTCATGAATATTTCCAGACTACAGATATTGAGCCAAGAGTCAACATCTGGTCCCCCTTCCTTGCAGACAGCTCAGCTCCTGTTTATGATGCTGGTCAAATCCGTGACAATTTAAATATTCTCAGGCACCAACTCTTTCCCAAAGTCATTGAAACAGCTGCTCTGCCGAGTAGAAGATGAGCCTTAGACTAAGTGGAGGGCACAATGCAAGCCCACTCCTCCTGAAGTGTCCTTGAAAATGTTTTTGGGGCTCCATGGGCCAATGTGACCCTAACAAGATCCCAATAAAAATCTGAAATAATCTGAGTTTCATTAATTGTCCTTTTCTAATCACCCATTAAGAAGTGTGTCCCTTGTCCTAGCTGATTTTGGCTCAGTGGATAGAGCATCAGCCTGTGGACTGAAGGGTCCCGGGTTCGATTCCAATCAAGGGCATATGCCCAGGTTGTGGGCTTGATTTCCAGTAGGAGGCATGCAGGAGGCAGTTGATCAATGATTCTCTCTCATCATTGATGTTTCTATCTCTCTCTGTCCATTCTTCTTTGAAATCAATAAAAAATTTTTTTTTTAAAAAAGAGTGTGTCCCTACTAGTCATACAGTGTTCAGTACTTGCACGTGGGACAGAACTAGATTGGAGAAGCTGATAGCTGGGCTCTCTTCCAACTCGCAGCTATGAATTCTCTCCCGAGTGCCACATGATGACCAAGCTCTGAGGAGGCTCGGCTTGAGGAGATTTGAAGAACAGGGACAGTGTTCCTGCTATGCATCATAATCCTAACAGGTACTTTTTCAGCTCATTTACCTTGCAAGGCAGGGTAATTGCCTTATTGCCCCTCCCCCTTTACAGGTGAGGAAACCGAGGCTTAGCAGCGTTGAGTCAACTCATCCAGGATAATGAGGCACTGGCTGTAGCTCTTTTCTTGGTGTTAACAGAAGCAGGGTAGAGCAAGGGGAAATGTGCCTCAGAACTGGCACACTGTCATTTCAGGCTTGTGACACTGGCCAAGTCTACATTTGGGAGTTTCTCTGCCTCTAGTGGAACTGTAAAATCTTTTCACAAAGGTGGGGCATACAGGGAGTACTGAAGAATTGAAGCAATAACTTTATCTACGAAGAAGACAAAAATTGACACAAGGGAGTGAATAGCTGATGGGAAACATTACCACTGTCTTTGAGGGAGATTCTGGGGAATCAGGTATGTGAAAATAGAGTGAGGGACAAAGCTATTTCCCTCTCCCCTTTCCCTACAGCCAACCAGTCTATCTTAGAAATGGAGTGACTTCCAGTCCCATGGCGATTTTAGTGGAGAATTGCTCTGTGCAGGAGGGAGCAGGGGAAAGGCTCTGGATGGTCAGAACCTGAGCTCTCAGTAGATAGAGCTATTCAAATCTTTGGGCCAACCAATTGTCTCAACTGGAATCCTTCTCTTTGGACTCTTTTTTGGGGAGAGCTAAAGAAGCAAAGCTGGCGAGTTAAAAAGACCCTAATAGAATCATCCCAGTCATATTATAAACTTAGGAAATATAACAGCCATGAGGCATTCTGGGAAAAAATAATGACCTTAATTGAATATTGGTGTCCTGATATATTTCCACTTTTTCTGAGTTCAGAAGACTCCTTTCTCCTTTGGAGTTAGGTATGACGATGTGACTTGGTCAATGAAATAAAAACATAAGCGGAGGGATCATTTTGGACAGAGGCTTTGAAAGACAGTATGTAATCTACCATGGCTTCCTCCCACGGAATGGTACTCATACAAACACACACTGAGAGAGAATCTCCATCAACTTAAGTCTCAGAGTCGTTATTTTGTACAACAGTACCTGAACATGAAGCTGAGACAGAAATCAACCTGTTGGCTAATTCTTGACCCTCAGGAGCTACGTGAGATAAACTTATTATTTCAGCTACTGTGTTTAGGGTTTATTTGTTATGCAGCAATAGATAACTAATACACTGACAAAATGTAATTCCCATTTTTAAGCAAGATCGTCATCCTTTTATACAAAATATATGCTGAGATATTTGTCAGGATGTAAGGGGAATGATAGTCACTTCTAGGTTGTGGTCTTTGGGTCATTTTCTTGTGTTTATCCTTTTTATATATTCATGAATCAATTTTTTTTGTAACAAGCATGTATCATTAAAGTTAAAAGCAAAAATAACGACTCTGAGCCTGGGCCTAGGTACAGAACGTGTCATTATGCAGGCGGCTGAGCAAGGGGGTGTGTTCATAGGAAGCAGGAGCACCACTCCTTCAGGCAGTTAGTGCTCTCCTGGGCCTCACACTCCGTGGCACCACAGCAACAAATGAGCCACCTTTGAAACTCCATTTCGTTCTTGTGCATCAGAAGAAACTGTCCCAGGAGGGTGTAGGCCTGTGGAGAGGGGATAGGGCAGGGAGAAAAATGGGAAAGGTTATAATAAACTTGATCAGATGTGCTCTTCCTCCCCAGCGCGAGGGCTCAAAGGAAGGGCACATTTGAGGGAGACTGGTGGTTCCCGAAACCCCAAGTGGGCGATGGGGATTTGGGGACAGGCCCTTGGTGAGATGTAAGGTCAAGGTAAATATCCATCCCTCAGGGCAGGGTTGGAGGCTGTCCCGTCTGGGATGAACCAGAGCCTGTCCTTCTCAGCTTCATGAATCATGAGCACATGAATCACCTGGAATCTTGTTAAAAGGCAGGTGCTGTCTTAGTAAGTCTGAGGTTGGGACCTGAGAGCCTGCATTTCTAACACTCCTGGATAATGGTTGTCCAAGGACAACATTTTGAGTAGCAAGAGCCTAGCATTCCTCTTACGCTCCCTTTTGGTCTCTGAGCTCATATTTCTCTCCTACACACACACACACACACACACACACACACACACACACACACACACGTTGTTAGAGATGCTCTTCACTCTGCTACTTTCTCAATTATTCTAGCAAAGGGTTTCTAGCCATTGGCACTGTTGATATACTGTATAAGTGTGTGTTGGAGGAGTGTCCTGTGCAGTGTCCCTGGCCTCCACCAACCAGATGCCAGGAGCTCACACCCATTCCCCTGAATTGTGACACTCATAACCATCTCTAGGGACATTACTAAGTGTCCCTTTGGGGAAAATATCTCCCTAGCTTTAGAGCCACTACACATGGGACTTGCAGCTGAAGGGCATCTTAGCACCAGTTTGCTTCTGCATGAGAACCCACAGAACCTGGGCCTCAGTTTCTGCATCTTTGAAGGTACGTAGTAGACCCTGCCCCATCCTACAAATGGAATTAAATGAGTTCAATGTGAGAGCATTTGAATAGCATAAATTCCTTTTTCCTGCTGGAGGCAAAGCCCTGGGGGTGGAGCAGAAGGCACAAAACACACCCATCTTTCCCTTCTGAAGAGTCTCTGAGGATGAAAAACACATGTAAAATAAAGATTCTAGGATTCCTAGTCTATGCCATTCCTAGTTTTCTAACTACTTCCCCCCACAATGTTTCATTTATTTATTTTCCCCATTTTAATCACACTGACTGATGAGGAGCAAGGAGCACGTAGAGAGAGGGGCATCCAAGACCATATGACCACCCTGGCCGATTTTGCTCAGTGGTTAGAACATCAACCTGCAGACCAAAGGGTCACTTCTCTCTCTTGTTCTCTCCCTGCCCCCTCCTCTCTCCTTTCACTCTTCAGAAAATCAATGGAAAAAAATATCCTTGCGTGAGGGTAAAAAAAGAAAAAGAAAGGCCATATGACCACAGATTGGCCCAGCCCCCAAACAATGAAGCCTGTTAAGTGCTCACCTCTCGGAGTGGCTTGGAGGCTCTCCAGCCTGGACTGGAGGAGAACCAGTGTCCACCCCTCGAGTTCTGGGACCTCTCCAGGAAAACTCCTGGCCTCTGTTTACAGTTCCATAAAACAAAATCAACTTCATCTTGACCAAAAGGAATGTATTTTAAAAAAAGAAATGAAATAAAAGCTGAATCCCAGTCGTAAAACATGCCCAAGCATCAGAGTTTGGGCTTTTTACTTTGAGTCATAGTCTAGTTGTTGAAAAGAGAAAAGGTCAGGATTTTATGGACATTTAAAATTTCTATTTGATATCATCCGAAAAAGCAGTTATAGTTGCTTAGAATGATATCATTTTACTTTATAAGGATTCTTGAATGTTCAGTGGTGGATTTTATTGAGATTTTTTGTTTGTTTGTTTGTTTTAAATATATTTTTATTGACTTTTTACAGAGAGGGATAGAGAGCTAGAAACATCAATGAGAGAGAATCATCGATCAGCTGCCTCTTGCATACCCCCTACTGGGGATGTGCCCGCAACCAAGGTACATGCCCTTGACCAGAATCGAACCCTGGACCTTTCAGTCCGCAGACCGATGCCCTATCCACTGAGCCAAACCGGTTTCAGCACTGAGATGTTTTTTAATTGAACATTTTTTTAAAAATTAAAATTTATTGAATTTAGTTAGTTGAGCCAATTGCTGTAGTGAGTGTAGGATCAGGAATATAACAGGATCAAGACACATAGAGTTTTGTCCAAGGAGAGGGGACCTTGATGATGATGATGATGATGATAGTAAGTGGCACTTCTGAGTACCTTTGGTTGAGCTCCAGGCCTCAGGCACACATTAATTCCTCTGATTTCCCCATGTAGCCCTTCCCATTCTCCAGATAGAATCCCTGAGAATCAAAAGGTTAAGACTCCTGTTTTCCTCAGCCCCATATTTGCACACCCCAACTGTCCACTGTCTGGCCTGGCATCTATGGAGTCCTCTGCCATTTTGAAAGCCGCGCTGCTAGCATCCACCAGGGAGGTAATCGGAGCCGCCATGTCCCCAGCAGGCTCAGCAGCCAGAAAGCCAGGGAATGCATGGTACGCAAGGCCAGAGGCAAACTTTCCAGGAATGCTGCAGGAAGAAGGGCCTCATCTTGCAGCCTCCAGAGCCAAGTTGCAACCTGATGCTCCCTTCTCCATTTTCTCTCTCGTTCCACCCTGCTACCTTCCATCACTGAGGAGGGAGAGTTAGTTTGCTCCACCCTGCTCCCAAGGGAAGCCAGAGTCATGTACTCCTATCATGGCTCTGCCAGAAGCCCGCTCTGCCCCTCTCCTGGCTCCAGCAACTCAGCCCCTAACCTTGGAGAAGAGAAACTGCCCTACTCCCTCTTGTGCCAAAGTTCAGGAAAATCTGGCTGAAGGAATGATGACGTAGAGACAGAAATTCTGAGCAGACAGCCCCACACTCCTACGACCTGAACAGTGGCCACCTTGAAGCCAGGGATGTTCATTCTTTCCTGTGACAGCCGTGGCAGGATGGTGGCCCTCGGGTACACTTTCCCTCAACTCCAAGTCCAAACAGTGAGCAGGTCTGGACCTCCCCCTCCGGTTTTCCAACTTCTTGCTAAACACCAGTGATATTTGTGTCCGCACTGGGGTTGGGTTCCCTTGTGTGTGGCCCCAGGCATTCACATGAAGCCCTGGGTTCCAGGGCTTTGGTGTCTTGGGAGAGTGCTCATGGCAGCCTCAGGGTATGCATCCCAGCAGGCCCTCAGGGAAGGTGCAGAAAGAACCAGCACACACGAAACAAGGCCAAGAGAGCTGTTACCACTGCAGCCCAACTCTGAGTAGCAAGTTCTTGGATGCCTGAGAATTTCTCAGTCACCCATTCCCTTGTCTTAAACGTCCCAATTCTCATTAAAAACACAGTGAAGCTGGAAAAGGAAAATCTATGGGGACAGAAAACAAACAAGTCAGTGGTGGCCAGGGCCTGAAGGTGGGGACTATGAAGATCATGGGCACATTTCTGAGTGACAGAATTGTTTTATGTCTTGACTGTGATAGTAGCTACTGAGTGCATGCACCTGTCAAAACTTGCAGAACTGAGTACTAAAAAGGTGACATTTACTATATGTAAATAAAATTATTTTTTTAACTGGTGGCTATGGCTGACCAACAACAAAACCTCACCATTATGGAAACATTACATCAATGGTGGTAGTAGCCAGAATACTGGTTATGTCCTTATGGGAGGGAGGGATGGCATTGATCTGGAAGAGGCACAAGAGAACCATCTGTAATTCTGAAAGCGTCTGACCATTGGATCCAGGTAACGGGTCCATGGATGTATAAATATTTATCAAAAATTCATTGAGCATATCAATGGAAGTATGCTACACCACAATAGAAAAGTAAGAGGGACAATCATTTCTTTCTTAAAAGAACGTTTAATTTAACATGTCTCTCCTAGTCAGACTTGCCTACTCTATTACATGCTAGGAAGTGGTGTTATCTCCTTTATCTGAGAGGAAAGAGTCAAATGTACCTCAGTGGTGAAGCTCCAACTTCCTAACTATACCACCTATTGGGTACTAAATTGGCTGCTAGCTTGGGGTGTTAAGAGTATTTAACATCTGGTGCAAAGCAGCGTGCCCATCAGAAAACCACAGGCCCAGTAGCTCAGACAACCTCCTGGAAACAGCTGCACACAGTACGTGTGCGAACCAAACTGCTTGTCAGCTGTGCACGCAGCAGTTCCCAGCCTCCGTGGGTGTCTCTGCACTGCCCTGCCTGGTGGTGGAGACTGATGTTGAAAACTGAAGGGAGTAAGCGGCACTTCAGTTTGTCGGTGGTGCCTTGCGTGACAGAGCGTGCAAGGCTCCGTGTGAATTCCTGCCCACCTCTGTGTGTGCTCACTTTCTTTTCTGTCCTAAAGTTCCATGCAGCCTTATAATAGTACCATAGAAACAATTACTAGTATACAGACAAGAATGTTCAGATTCCATCAGCTATCCCTAAGCCCATTCTTGGGTTGTGAGTGACATCTTTGAACAACTCACGTCCTCTTACTCTGGTGTAGACCCTCAGCTGCTGTTACTCCACTTGCCATCCCCAGGCTGGTGCCCTGATGGAGCCAGGGAGACTCCGCAGGTCTCTTCAGGGATGTGGGGAGTGCATCCGAACCACCCATCCTAACAGCTCAGCCCCAGACTCGGGTGGCTGGCTCACTTCTGTGGACCACCTGGGTGTTTGAACACCAAATGTATCGTGCCTGGCTCAGCTGCTCTAAGCCAAAGAGATCCAATTTTTCCATCACCCACTGGTCCTTGAGGCTGCTCAAGCGTGTGGGTGGGGTCTGTAGCACAGAAGCATGTGGTGCCCTGCCAAGTGGCAGCTTTGCTCTCTCATGGCCACTTATGGCACATGTGGCAGTGGCTGCCACCTGGCAGGCCTAAGGGAAGAGAAGTTGAGGAAATAAGAAAAAAGGAATTACCTTGTTGAAACCTTTGGCGACCAAATTGATTGCAAGTTCATGGCTGATCCCATCTACACAGACTACATCCTTTTCTCCAATGGGTTCAGAGAGGAAAGCTCTCAACCTGGGAGACATGTGATTCATTCTCTGCAACAGTAATGAAGAAAAACCGTTAAGAAGTGGCTGACTGCTCACAGTGTGAGTGGACATTGGGGAACTCCCTTAGCTTACCAAGAGACAGGGAGGGACAGATGGCAGGTTACCTTTCACCTTCCAAATTTATTGGGGCTTTTAGATGTCAGGTGCCATGCCCAGCGCTGAAGGTCTTTGCACATCCATTTCCACCTGGATGGACTAGGGGCTAAAGATGGCCGAAGATGAGTCCAATAAAACCCCACAAAAAGGATGTGCTTGAGACTAAGACCTGCTTAAATGCTTAAACAAACATCGCTCCTCTTAGCTAATTATCCAATCTTCTCAATCACCCAACACTTTGTCATACTTTTATTTTATGGAGCATTTATCACTCTCTGTTGGTGGTTTGGTTGCAAGTATCAGAAAACTCTTAAGCTGGGTCAAATATTAAAGAAGATAATATAAAGTCACAGCTCCATTTCTCTGATTCTTTCCATTTTTCCTCTTTGTGTTTGCTTCTGTGGTGGTTGTTTCCCCTCATGTGGTGAAATGGCTGCTCCAACAGTGGAGCCTCAAAAAGAAGAGTTCCAGATAGAGCCTCATTTCATCTCAAAGGTCTGCATGGAGACACTGTGTAAGCTTAGTGGCAGCTCTATGCCCCAGTCCTCAACCTGGGAGAAGAACTGGCTTTCTCTAAGCCATGTGTAAACTGTGAGTTCAAGCATAGTTACCTGAAGAAAATCAGGATTATTATTCAGAGTTGGGGAGATGAGTGTTAGAGCAGTTAACTATAACATTCCACGATGGTCCACCCTTTTGATGATCTAACATTCATATACTCTCCTTCCTTAACATAATGATCAGAAATACCCACCCTTTCCCCCAACCATTCAATTCAAGGTAATTATTTTCTGGAAGATGCATCATATCATAGCATCATGTCTGAATGTAGCTACTCATGGAATTATAACATATGAACTAAATTCTGAAGTTCACCACCATCAGCCTCGCCAGCTGGGCCAAGAAAAACTCAAGATACTTGCATTAAGCATATCCAGAATGGGAATTCTCCATTTAGAGAAAGGGAGAATGGGAAACACATTCGGTTGTCATTGGTCAATAGTACATACAATGCTGAGGCAATAATGAGGATTCCTTATCCTGATGGTAAAGCATGTTCCTCAGCCAGACAAGATAGCAACTCCAAGTTTTGGGTTTGAGAGTATCTCCTCTGTCGACTGCCTTGTTAACATTGAGTGGGTATGAGGTTGCTGCCTTCCAAGGAGAATCATAGTTTTAACACCCAACTTCTTGTAGGTAAAAGTTCACAGACTGGCCACTTTCTTTGACAATTTAGTTCCCCTAAGAATTTAATGGGTTTCTTCTACCTAAGTTCTAGCTGATAGTTAGAACTGGTAGTTCTAGCTGAGATACTGACCTCAGTATCTTTCATCTGGCAGCTTGCCTCTGTGTTTTGCCCACTGCCCTGCTCCTCGGATCCTCAGATGAGTGGCATATTTCTTCATCTCTGAGGTAGGGAACTACCCAAATTTGTTCCTTGTCCCCAGCTGGATCCCAACTGCATCTTCACAATAGGTCAACTATCCCCTTTCTCGATCTTGACGTCCTTAAGATGCTAGGAAGAGATGTGGTAACTGGAGCAATGTTTTTCTGGAGCCCCTGTTTTTTTCTTTTGATGTCACCCAACTTGTTGCCTATGTTTGAACTTTAACCAGAAAAATAAGCTTTCCAATCCAGCAGGACTTGCTCATCAATGTCCAGTCACTTTCCATTGCAGGCTACAGGCAGAAAGGCCCTCTCTTAGCAAAGCTATATTTTCATCTCTCTCCACTCTCAAATAGGCCACCTTCCCCCTAAATATGTTTTATAGGACTTTAATGAAGACTACTGGAGGTAGTCAACATCCTGGATATTTCCATATCTTTAAGTGTCATGTCTCATACTCAGAAGGTCTGTATCCCAGAATACAACACCCCTCTTCCCCAATACCAGCCATTTTCTTAACCAGGATCTCCATCTTCTAGTTAAAGACGTCCTTGTTGCTCTTTACATGAACATCTCTTCTCAGCCAACCTACATTTAAGGTTTGCTCATTGTCACATCCTCTTAGTTTATGATACAAGCAACAGAAAATCCAGAACAAACTAGCTTGCACAGTAGGTGGCTTTATTAGCATAAGCTACCCAAAAGTCCAGAGGTAAATCACATGAAATATGATCAAGACTCCAACTTGATTTTCCTGCAACACTGTTGACTCAACCTTCCTTTACATATTGGCTCAATCCTCAGTTAACTCTTCATGGAAATAATAGGGCTGCAGCAGGGCCTGTTATGTTTATTTTTCCTTTTTTAAAAAATATGTTTTTATTGATTTCAGAGAGAGGAAGGGAAAGATATAAAAACATCAATGATGCCTTCTGCCCACCCACCCTCTGGGGATTGAACCCAAAACCAGGGCACATGCCCTGACTGAGGATCAAACTATGACCTCCTGGTTCATGGGTCAATGCTCAACAACTGAGCACACCAGCCAGTGAACTTACACCATCCTCCTTCCCAAAGAAAAGCACTGTTTTTGCATAGAAGCTACCAACAAATATCTTCTTCAGTCCAAACCATCATATGCCAGGCTCTAAAACATAATCTATGGCCTAAAATAAGTGTCTTACCTCTGGTTCAGAAAGTGAGTATGTTACCTGCAAAGCGCATAGGCTGTAGAGTGGAGATGGGACACAAAATAGGGGTAGTTGTCATATTACTGCAAATAGTTACCCTGTATCACAATATCGGATGAAGTTAGGAGAGCAACTCAGCATCTATCACATATCCCCAGTAGATCGTGAGGTTCCAAGGGCCATGACTGCCTCTAAAAGCCTTTGCTCCCCACTGAGCCCCAGTCCCAACAACAATGATGACATAAATGACTGATGCATCCATTGCCTTCAAATGTCTCTCTTTCACAGTGCCGGTCCCATGCCTGTCTCCATGCTCCCAGTTCTCCTCCAGACTTTTCTGTAAAGTCCAGCTCCCCTGTAAGCCTCCTGCCCCCAGATGTTTTGTAACTTTAGATGAAATTAAACTGGATCTGGCCCTGGTTGGTGTGGTTTAGTTGGTTGAGCATCATCCCACCAAAATAATTTGGGTTCAATTCCTGGTCAAGGCACATGCCCAAGATTTGGGCTTGATCACCAGTGGGAGCAGCTGATTGATGATGTTTCTCTCTCTCCCTCACCCTTCCTCTCTCTCTCAAAATAAAAATTTAAAACCCTTAAAATAAAAAGCAGCACTGGATCTGAAGGCACTGATTTCAGGAGTCAGGGAGTTCCTAAGGAAAGTGGTCTCAACGTGTTGGCTGATTCTAGGAAAGGATACATAAGGCAAGAGAGGTTGTCCAGGGTCCCCTGTCTCTGTGGGTCTCAAACATATGAATATGTGAGCTGCAAATACATTATTATACAAAGTCATTGATTTCTCTCTCTAGCAGCTAAATATGAAGATTGTTCTTAATTTATGAAAACATGTTAACAGGTGAACTCTGCAACACCCATCACCTTGTGGCCAATGAACCAGGATTGGTGGCTCAGCTCAGGGAGGGCAAGTAAGAGATTGGTATTTCTGAGTAGGAGGAAGAGTGCAAGCATGCTGGCAGGGTTCCCCTACTCCTACTCTGCTCAGGGAAAATTCCATTCACTATCCATGTTGGTCATCTGTTAAGTTAAACAGCTCAGCCTATTATAGGAATAAATGGAAACTACAACATTGTTATCAGTTTACCAACAGCATCAAAGACAGGTAATTACTAGCAACACCTTGCATTTGTTTGCTTTTCTCACACACCTGATCTCACTTTGATCCTTGGAACACTTGGGAGGATGGGCAGTGATTTTACCCACTAACTAAAGGTATTTGCAATAATTAGGACACCTTTTTCTGAGAAAGTTATTCTAAACTATGGTACTCCCCCTAATACTTGGCAATGTTTCTGGGGACACTTTTGGTCGTAACAACTGACGAAAGGGAAAGTGTGGTTGGCATCTAATGGGTAGAGGTCAGGGTTGTTGCCAAACAGTCTATAATGCACACAAAAGCCCCTACCCCCAAAGAATTATCTGGCCCCCATGTCCATAGTGTCAAGGCTGATAAATCATTGGCTACAAGTAACAGAAACATTTATTCAAGCAGTTAAACAATAAGTACATTTCTAATCTTACATAAATAGAAATCCACACAGGATTCTGCCTGTCAGTGATTTATATTATCAAGGACCAGTCTAGCTGCCCCCCAAGACCCCAAGATGCTGACATGGAGACTTTCAAAGGAAGGAGAGGCCATTTCTTCTTGGTGTGCCCAGAGTGTCTTCTGTAGAACTTCCCTTAGTTTTGTTCACCAGAACCAGGCAACACGTCCACCCATAAACCAGTAGTACTGTCCACAGGAGCGGGACTCCATGGGGTGTGGATGAAGTCAGCCTCATAAGCATGTGGCTGCTCAGAGAATGTAAGCTTCTGTAAGAAGTTGGAGGAGAGGGAGTTGATGCTGGGTAAGTAAACAACCTAATGACCATTTCTCTGTGTCTTCTAACCCTGCTCCAATATTCAGTCCATCACAACTAGTGCTTTTCAAAGTTTAATGTGTGCACAGACCACCTAAGGGTTCTTGTGTGGCTCAGTGGTTGAGCATCAACCCGTGAACCAGGAGGTCGCTGGTCGGATTCCCGGTCAGGGCACATGTCCAGGTTTAGGCTCGATTCCCAGTGGGGGGTGTGCAGGAGATAGCCGATCAATGATTTTTCTCTCTCATCAATGTTTCTCTCTATATATCCCTCTTCCTTCCTCTATCTGTCTCTCTCAAAATAAAAGCAGGTTTTGATACAGCAGGCCTGAGGTGCTGCATTTCTAACAAGTTTCTGAGAAGATGCCAATGCTGAGAGCCCACAGATCACAGATTGAGTAGCAAGGTGTTACATGATGCCACTCACTCTTTTAATG